TGTGTGTGTGTGTGTGTGCGTGCGTTCACCTCACTGGTGGATAAGAAATGTGTGAAAACGAGGTGCCAGTTGAGTTTGCCACAGCGTCCCCACTCTTACGGAGGGCATACGATGTGAGCCAAAACATTCCGCGTCCACCACGTGGAGGTAATAACGTACTGCTTAAAGGCCCAGCACACCTTACTGCCACCACCGGAACGTGGCCTTATCGACACCCACAGCGAACGTCCAACAACAAATACAGACCTCATGTCCATGGACGCATCTAGTGCGTGCACCAGTATTGTCACAATCATCGCGAACATCAACGCGCACGCATACTAGGGGTCTTTGAACGACTCCGGCACGCACACCTCCTCGAACACGTGAGCGGCGTGGTTGATCATGTGGATCCTCGCCACCGAAAGCACCATGCCCGTCGCTGGAAATTTGCCGATGCTAAAAACGCACGGATTCAGCCGCAGGAACGGCACGTACTTCCCGGCAAGCGGGATTAGCGTCCCGATAAACGACACGGCGAGCACCACGAAGATAGCCTCCACGTTCAGCCCAACCGAGTAAGGACCATCAGCTCCGCCGCACCCGCTGATGCGCGTTAAGTGTAGCAATTTTGGAAAGCTTCACGACCGTCATGCCGTGGACTGACGTGGATACTTGGAGCCATTTCAAGGCTCGTCTGTTCTACTCTACCTTGAAAGGGGAAAGTTGGGGAAGCAACGGTTTGGCGGAGCTTCGCAAATGCCTACCAACGGCGTGCCAAAGTTCTGAGAAAGGTCGCTTGCCAGAACACGATATACGATACAGTAGTGTCAGCGCACATTTCCTTGTCATGCAGAGAAGCGAAGCATGCGCTGCATCTCCCAGAGGATCGTCTCCCGCTGGGCCGTCGCAAACCCCGCGAGCGCAAGAACTCTGTCCATCGCAGCGGGGCTCGCCGCCCAAATGTCGGAGAGCGCGCCGAGCCGCTGGCGGCGCAGGCGGAGGTCAACCTCCGTGAGCAGCGGGGACAGCAAGGGACGCCACGCCGCGTCTACAGCGGAGTAGGGGGCGCCGCGAAGCTCCGTTGGTTGGGAGAGCCACGATGGGCATCCGTCGTCACTTACAGATCGCCTCTTAAGGGAATCGTTGCCACCGCTTCGCGCCCACTGGCTAGTGAAATATGCATCCGGTACCTCGCTCACCTTGCGCGCAACGCCCCCGTGCTCATCCAGCAGTAGAGGATGCCGCGGACTGCCGCCGCCGCCGCCAACGCGGATGCGGTAACCCACCGGCTGGCTCGTGACGCCGCCGCTGCTGTGCGGTACGAGGTGGTAGCCGACCGGCACACGCTCGATGCGCTGCCCACCGCTCGTCACGG